TTTTTTTTTTTTTTTTTTTTTGTATGATATAATTGTCACTGACATTGAAAAAAAAGAAAAACTAAACAATTTGTAGGTAAATAGTCTGTACGCTTCCCCAGTTGCAGTCAACAATCAAAAATTAATTTTTTGAATAACGATATAAGTAATGAAAAAGTTGATTAGTATCAATATTTCAAGAAGAAAATTTGATAAATTTCTAACAAAGATCAACATTGATATTTTGAGATTTGTTATTCCGACTAAAGAAAGAAAGCGCAGCAGAAAAAAAAAAAAACTATGATTAAATAAAATCGTAAAAAAAGTGGTTCTATTGTTGGTAAAAATATTGAAAAAAAAACTGGACAATTGATAAATAATAATTAGACTTTTTTTTTGCTACAAATTAATAACCTAAAGGCAGTGCATTATATAACAATTACTTCATATAGTCAACTGTTTCCAAGTTTATGCTTGCTTAAATAACAGAAGTTAAAAGTTGATTTAATAACTAATATAAGTAACTTTTTTCATTCGGCCATTAATCGAGTAGATTTTGACAAATTTTTTTTTTTTGACTGGTTACAAAAACTGGTTAAAAATAAAAAAAAAAGAAGATAAAAGGATGTGCAGTGGTGAAGCGAAAGTTAAACTAATCCATTTTATCCTCCTGACAAATTTGAGGTCGACGAAATAATTATGTCAAATTTTCTGTTGCACTTATTAGTGTCAGATTTTGAATTATGTTCGAAAAGCGACCCTCGTTCGTCCTCATTTCTATTTTCTTGGCTATTCACGCTGAAAATTTAGACGGTATTTTTTTACAGTTACTTACAATCTAAATTAACAAACTATAAATTTTTTGTTTCAACTTTTCTCCTCCTTTCTTTTATTTTTCTTTTTTTAATGTATTGAAAAGCCATTTTATCTGTTGTCAATAAAAATTATTTCACTGATTCTCATTGAATATCTTTTTTCTTCATTTTCAGCGGAGTCTAGTGTTGAAATCTTAGATGGCACAGACCTCGAACAACTTAGTGAATATGAACTTAAATTCCTTAATGATTTTGTTCAACGTCGAGGGAAAGGTTCCGTCTCCCGTGTGCCGTTTAATGAATTAATGTCCGAAAGGTTTGAAGCATCCAGAGATAGCGACATTGTAGCTGTCGGTGGTAAGGTATGCACAAATGTGAAGGTTTATTCTAGATCAATTAACGCCTATCCGTTGTGGTGGTCTTTAGAAATGTTAAATCATCGTACCACCGTCCTTGCTATCATATTTTTGCTCCATTATCATCACTGTATTTCTCATCAGAAAGTTGTCGAAAAAAGCATTGATTCTGTCCACTGTCCGACAAATTGATTCTCCCATCTTCCCTAACTTTAGAGAAGTTAAATTAAAGTCTGAGAATTCTGGCATTGACAAGTTGCCACCGAGATAATGTTAAA